TTTATCTCAGCTCTTTTTCCTCTTAGCCCATTCAATTCAATCTCGCTGCAGTTGCAATTGCAGCCACAGAAGGTTGCTAAATTGCATAATTCAGAAAACACCACCGCATACTACATAACTACATAGGGTTAAAGCCTTCGACAACGTGTCAGAGTATGAAAGTTACAGTAATGTTTTTGTAATTGGCTTAAAAAGTTGCTAATTAAGTAAATTGCTTACACGGTTTAATTTATGTTAATACTAAAATGGATTAATTTATTTTTTGTATTTATTTCTTTAATTTTATGTGAGATTTTATTCAGATGTTAAGCATTTTTTAAGATTAATCCTTATAATTCCCAACTAGTTATAGCGGTGTATTTGGTGATTTATTTTGTGGTACTATTCGGATTTTACCCATTTTTCAAGACTTAACGTGTTCTCCACTAGTTGTAGCTGTGGATTTAGCTTATTTATTCTAAAATATTTGTTAATTTTTTATTTTGTTTTATTTTTTATTCCTTTCTAATCCTAACGTATGTCTTGTAGTATTCCGCCGTTAAAAAGAGGGTTGTTAAAAGGACTAAAACTTTGATAGACAGACATTCTCAATGGGATGTCCATACCAAATGTATGTTAATAATGCCCAAACGACATTGCCTGCAGGCTCATTATGTATACATATATGTATATATCGATCGGGGGGTTAAGGAGGCGTCATCTGAAGGGGGAGTGCCTCAAGTGGGCCAGTATAACCCACCCATTTTCGGTGTGTGTTGTATGTTATGTTATGAGATTCGAAAGCTTCGCCCCGCCGGCATGTTTTTCCCCCTCTCTCCAGGTTTTGTGTTTCGGTTTTGTTTCGCCGTGGGTTACAAAAAACATTTCAAGTTGTTCCACAGGGTTTTTATATATTTTTTTTTCAGTTTGCTGTCCGGACAAGTGGACAAAGTGGTCCGCAAGTGGTTGCATGGCCATTAGAGAGGTGTGGGTTGAACTCTGGACGGGAATGGGCTTTTTTGGGGGCTCATTGGGCTGGTGGACCACTGCAGCTGTGGCCAACTATCAATTACTTAAATGCTGTCTGGCGTAATCATGGAAATCTTTTTCCAAAAAGGATATAATGGAATTACTAACGTTCTTAAAATATTTAAAAAATCTTAAAGTTAAAAATAAATGTATTTAAAGTCTCTAAGTCAAAATAAATATTTTTGTTTTTCATAAAGTTTTATGATTTAATGCCCATAAATATATATTGGTTTTAGAACTGAGGAAACCTGTAAGATAAATCTCAGTTTATTACTGTCTGTAAAATACGTAATAGAAACACAAATTTAAACACATTTTGCAAGTCAAGTTCAAGATTTTCTTACACAATAGTAGTCACCTTTTTCTCCGCCAAATTGGACCGACAAATTTAACTGCAATCTGCGGTTCACTGAACCCCAAAAAGATCACATAAAAACCAAACCACAAATGGCCGCATTAGGCTTAGCTAATATCGCTTTTCTTCAGACAATAAAAACCAAATGGCCCCAAGCCATGAACAGCGAATCATTGATCAACTGAAAAACCCAAGACCGAAACTCGCATTTGGATGCCTTATAAGGTGGAAAGGAAAAAAAAAATGGATGAATAAATAAAGGCGACATTTTGCGGCAACTGTTCATATCTCTACAGATATATATTGTCTATGGGGTTTCCATTGAAAAGTCGAACGAAAATGCCAGAGATCCAAGATCATATGGGCCGCAAAAAATGGTAGCCAAAAAGAAACGTGTGCTAAACTTGCGCCAAATCAAGTGACGCAAGAGATAAAGTCAGGGGGGTATATATAGTTTTTGGGGGCTTAAAGGGGGAATTCCTAAACTTGATTTCGCCAGCTGCGCGTGGGCCACCGAAAAAAGAAATAAAAACAAGAGAGAACGCTATAGTCGGGTTGGTGTCCCGACTATCTAATACCCGTCACTCAGCTAAAGACAGTTCGAACGCTGCACTCGGGTTGGTGTCCCGACTAATAATCGTAACTTAGCTAAAGGGAGTGCGAGGGAGATAGATATATAAATTTTGATTGCGTATAACTTTTTAATGAATGGTCCGATTTGAAAAATGTCTTCTACATTTCGATAGGTATAAATATACACAACAAAATTGCATTTATACTTCTCGGAAATCTTTAAAGATGTGGGCGCAGGACCCATTTTAAAATCGTTAGTGGGCGATTGTGGGCGTTAGAGGGGGCGTGGCGCTCGGCTAAAATAAACTTGCGCTGCGTAGGAAGCCAAAGAATATGTGTGGGAAATCTCAACCTTCTAGCTTTTGTAGTTTCTGAGATCTCAGCGTTCATACAGACAGACAGACGGACAGACGGACAGACGGACAGACGGACATGGCTAGATCGACTCGGCTAGTGCTCCTGATCAAGAATATATATACTTTATGGGGTCGGAAACGCTTCCTTCTAGCTGTTACATACTTTTGCACGAATCTAATATACCCTTTTACTCTACGAGTAACGGGTATAACAAACGACGAAATAACACTCGAAGAGCTTGGAAAGATCGCTGATCTCGATTTCATTTGAAATAGTTGAGTATTTTTTGCTAGTCTCGGCATTGCAAAAGTTTTACATAAATGCAAAAAGTGTAAAACAATACTTAACCGATTAACATAGAATTCCGATTTACAAGAAAATATACTCTGTTTTCTTTGATTAAGAATAATCTATGATATGTCTGCATTTGATTAACTTAATTTGTGAAGATTTTCGATGTAGATTTCTTTGGAAATATAATAATGAAGACAAGTTTCAGAAGTTAAATAAATAGCATAATTGTGAAGCAATCAATCTAAACCATTTAAATTTGGTCATCTGACGATTAGATTGATATATGAAAAAAGTGAAAATTGGAAACAATAAATCCAAGCAAGCAATTAGCATAAAATTTAGATTCGTTTGAAAATTATAGCTTTTAAATGTTTAATTTGTCAAATAGATTCATAAAAGGTTGGTTGCATTTTTTAAAATACTCTATTTGTGCTGAAAAAGTTATCCATAAATGCCAAAAATGTGAAACTATAAATTCAAGGCATAGAGCTAACTTTTGGTCATTCAAGGCGATTAGCATAATACCCAGATTTGCATGAAAATTAACGCATTTAAATGTTCAATCTGTCATGTGCTATACGACTTTGGCTGTTTCTTTAATTAAGAATAATTTGTTGAATAACTTTTTGTGCCTGCATTTGACTAATTAAGTTTATGCAAATTGCGCGAGCGTAGGCGAAAGTTTTATGACCGCGGAAAAGAGATAAAAACTGGACTTATTTTATGAGTTTTTAAGTCGCCGACAAATTGACGATGGATATTGTGTGTGGAAATCAAAATTGAAACATTTAAGCGAGCCAACTAAAAATAAACATCCGCAGAAGTCATAAAACAAAGGCGGGCCCTTCTTATTCTCCCTTGAAACTCCCCCATATTGTTACTTCAGAGGCTCCCTTTTCCTGATGCACAGGAAACAATTTCGATATGGGGGTTTGTTATCTTGAAATGCACTCTATATTGGAAAAGTATTGCTCAATTAATATGATACCTATGATATCATAGGATCTTAAAAAATTAAATTTATATTTCCTTTTATAGGAGGAGATTTAAAAACTTTTTAAGAACAAGATTTTCAAAAAAAAATTGTAGGTTTTAAATATTTGGTTCCCAAAATATTGGGGTCCCTAAATTTTTTTTGCGTGTGTGTGGGGAATGACATGGAGCGCAACTGTTTCTGCGAGACAAAGAAGGAGAAGAACAAGAAGAAGACGGATGAAGAGGGATGGGGAGATAAAGGAGCAAAACAGAGGGAAGTCGTTGAAATTAAATACGGTTTGTAACCAGAAATTCCGCAACTAAAAATAAACAAATGAGAAAAAGAAGAAGAAGCGCGGAGCACGCGACGCACAAAAGAGGGTGAAATTCAACCCACAAAGAGCTGCAAAAATTAACAACAATACATATAATATTCTTGGCCTCGCCAGCGATTTTTTATTGAGGAAATAGTGCAGATAGAATTGTGATTTCTGCATATTTGCATAAATTGCGGCCACTTGGAAAAAAGCGAAGAAAAGCGATAAATAATGCAAAAACAACGATAGCGAATTTATCAGAAGAAACCCACACACAAACACAAAAGCACAGAACCTAAGACAACAAAAGAAAAACAAAATTTGCTTTGCAAAACAATATTTTGTTTTTGTTTTGGTTTTTTCCCCAATCTCCTCTCTCTCTCTCTCGCTCTCCTTCCCTCCCGATCGCAGTTGCATTTTGCGATCAACGGTTCTTTGGTTGGGGCCTATTGCCTGCTCGCTCGCACTCGTGCGCCAAAAAGGCTCTGCAAAACCAGTTATTAAAAGCCATAAAAAGGAGAACCAAACCATTTAACTGTTTAAGGTGTCCCATGTTGGAACTTTTTTTGTCGCCAGGTGTTTAAAACTCCGCCAGCTGTTGGCAAAAAAAAACGAACAGTATTTTTGCATTTCTGCAATTTGCAATTGTTTTTCTTTCGGGGTTATTTGTCCTGCTTCTGCGCAGAGGGTGCGAGCAGGACGGCAGTATCAGGACTCGGAACTCACTTACACACCCTTAAAAATGCCGCTACTCCAAATGCAATTTCTTTTTTACCGTTGTTTTTGCACTGAAATCGGAATCTTAAATTAGGGGGGATTTTTGTTCAAAATATTTGTTTATGGCTTGACTTTACATCTAAAGTCCACCCACACCCCCTTTATATTTTCATAATTCGTTCAACTCCGGAGCAGCTTCGTTTTGCTCTCTATATACAGCTTCTTTACGTTTTTTTTTTATTAAATTTCTTTGCGCAAAAGGAGTGGCGTTGTCCAGGATTTTTTTCACACATACACAAGGACCTTTCATATACGCGTATAGTCGGCGTCCTTTTTTTGTACTTTTTTCCGGCACTTTTGCTTATTGCAAAATAATCTTTTTGGCACTTTTTCCAGGGATTTACCTTTAACGGGCTTGTTGTTTAGCCTTTTCGGTATACACAAATCCTTTTTCCAAATATTCGCGACCCGGTTCACTCGAATTAATTCAATTTCGCACGACGCGACTTGTTAAATTATCAAAATTATTCAATTATCGCACAAATTTAATGCTCGCGGCGATTTGCACTTATTGTTGATATTTCACTCGGCAGCGGTAAAACTCGCGACGAACGTCCGACTCGCTTGAATTTTTTTTGTTATTAATTTCAATCCCAGCAGTATGACCTTTCCGAATGCGCGAATTTTGGCATAACGTATTGTCGCGAAAACGTGGGATTATTTTTATGGTCACACCAAAAGTGACGCAGGGTTAGCCGAGACACGATCCATCTCGCTGCGTCATTTTTGGTGCGCGCCTCCGCTTACCCGAGACACGAACCGCTCCGCTGCGTCACTTGTGGTGTGTCTCTGCTTAGCCGAGACACGAACCATTTCGCTGCGTCACTTTTAGTGTGGCCATATTCTCATGGTTTGCGCCTCCGCTAACCCTGCGTACATTTCAGTATGACCATGCTAATTTATCGGGATTTATCGATTATTTTTGAAAGTGGGCGCCAAAAATGGCAGTCCGTCGCCCCGAAAGATAGGCAACACAAATTTGCACTGCCATTCCAGTTGGAGTTTATTTTCCAATTGAGCTCATTTTTATACCCTTGTAGAGGGTATTATAATTTCAGTCAGATGTTTGCAACGCAGTGAAGGAGACGTTTCCGACAACATAAAGTATATATATTCTTGATCAGCACCAATAGCCGAGTCTATCTAGCCATATCCGTCTGTCCGTCTGTCCGTCTGTCCGTCTGTCCGTTTCTATGCGAACTAGTCTCTCAGTTTTAAAGCTATCGCGATGAAACTTTCCCGAAAGTCTTCTTTCTATTGCAGGTAGTACATATGTCGGAGCGAGCCGGATCGGATATCTTAAGGCTCCCATAGGAAAATTCAAACAAATATAAGAAAATTCATTGGAATTCCTGGAACTGCACCGAGTAAGCATTACTTTATCTACAAGGGTATATAAGCTTCGGCTGGCCGAAGGTAGCTTCCTTTCTTGTTTTTAAGTTTATTTTTGTAAAACGTTAAATATCAATTAAATGAAAAACACAAATTTAACCACTTCCTAAAAACAATAAAATCGATTGGTAAACATAGATAAAAAGGTTATTTGCATTACCCAACCATTATTGAAACTCGCCTCGACTTATTTTTTTGTATTTTTTTTTTTAATTTTGAGATTATATATATATAATAATTAGATTTACATTCATTTCTGTATCATTTTACTTGTTTTATTTTAGAAATAAAGTAAGCATTTATTACTAATTCTTTTAATTTTTTTTGTTTTGCTTTAGATGTGCATTTTAGTGAACTTTTCTTTTCCATTTTGCTTCGATGAACAATATTAAATACGGGGGCGTACAATCATTTTATAACACAAAAACAAACAATATTTTAAATATACTTCTTAATGAGTCGTTTTCCTTTCGTTTATCGTGTGGAGGGTGTATGGTGTTTGGAAGAGTGGGAGTGGGACGAAATCACGCAAACAACACAAAATAAGGCAGTGTGCCAGTTGGGGAAAGGTTCAATATGCACTCGATATAGAGATATTGCAACGTGACCACTTTTGATATTGAAGCTAGTAAAAAACACAAAGAAAATGCACACAGTACAACAAGCGGAGATGGTTCGTTAATGGTTATCAATTTTAACATGCTACGATTTATAGAATTTTGATTTAACTTCCCTCCTCGATTCGTTTATCCGTATTTGTTTTTTTTTTGTTATCATCATCGATCGTCATTCTTCTCTTGGCTCTGTATAAAAGTTCAGTAAAAAATGCAGCTTAACTAGGTTCTCGTTTTGTAATTCCCTCCAATTTCGTTATTAAGGTAGCTCTCCTCGCAAACGTGGTTTTTCATTTATTTCCATTAGATATCCTCAATTGTTGCAAGCTTGCTTGGGTTTGTTTGTGTTGCTTTCGGCTTTATTTTACATTAATCAATTATTTATAAGTGATAAGAAATGTGTATGGTCATTTCTGGTGTTTAATCAAAAAATTTACAAAGTTGTTGAAACTTTTTGAATGGTGGTTCCATTTCTATCTTTTTCTTCAGTGCAAAAATAACCCCGTCTAGATACTAATTGAATCATCTTTCCCGAATTCTGCTGGAACAGGGAACTGGTTATTGGAAAATATATAAGAGAGCACTGCGAACCTACCTCTCCATGAGCAGTTTTAGGGTGCTGCGCTTAAGTACAAGCAGCATAAAAACGATAATTCCAAAACTTTTATTAATATAGGCGACAAAAAACCAGACCTGGTGAATAATGCTGACGTTTTGCAAAAAATAAAAGAGATCCCAGATCCAATACACGCTCATGAGAGCAGACAACCGCAAAAACATTAGATACCTAAGAAGAAAATTTTAAATGTATATTAGACTGCTTTCCAAATTCTGAATAGGATAAGTTCTTACGTCTCAGTGTCAAAACTAAAGCATTGTATAGTCCTCTCTTCATCTCGTTTAAACTTTCTCAGTTCGCTCTTAACTGTCCAAATGTGAATGACCGTAAGAATAAACATAATCACATTAAAAAGGTTTAGAATCAGTGCTGGTCCCTTTAAAAATATCCAATAAGAGGGCCCACGAGCTGTAGACGAAAGGAAATATATATTTAAGGCTTGGATGAATGTTTCTTCAATTCAAACCTTCCAGCCTGCATGCAGAGTATCCAACTAAGGGCAACCAGTTCCATTTATGGAGATCCTCCTCCCAAATTAGATTCACTAAATAAATTACTCCTGTTGGGAAAGCAGCCATACTCCAAATGAAGGCACTGTATTTAAGAAACGATGAATGCTGACTTCTATTCGTCAATAACTCCCACAAATAAAAGCTTATGACAGAGCCCCAAAAAATGATGGCTATCTCGAAGAAAAAAGTAATGTAACCTGACGAAAAACCGCGAATGTTATTAGTATGTCCTATCATTGAGATCCAATTTGAATTCAATATTAACAGCTTACCTGCTAATAGGCAAATGCGGTTTAGTAAATTAAATGTATCCAGAATGTAAACAATTTCCCCAATGAGCAAGCAAAATATTTTAGAAATAAGACACTTGCCGAGGACATTCCGAAGCTTTCTAACGTAAAGATACACACACAATGTGAGGATGTAGAATATTACGGATATCGCAGTTACTGCAAGTACAGAAACAGAGAAATTAAGGTAACAGCGGTAGTCATAAATTAATACATTTCATTACGCTCGAAGTCCGCTGGCAGCAAATATTCAATGTAAGTGTATTTAACAACCCAAATGGAATTGGGAGAATCCGAATTAATCTGGGGATACAGACAGTAAAGGTCTTTTGGCAAGATTTGCTGAACGTTGTATAAAAATAGGAACCCGTCCTAAAGGGATTGCATTAGAAATGTAGATACTCCTTTTAGGCAGAATGACAAACCTTCAACATTACGTAATCATACTTATTAAAGCTGTTCATCTCAACGCAATGTCCGAAATGGTCCCTTAACCTGAAATACGTAGCAATCCACACAAGGTTCTGGATATTGTGGGACTTTATGTCCCCTAACGTTAAGTTTAGTATATTCAGGGTAATCTCTTTATTAAAGCCATCGTTACATGTTCCGTTTGGTAACATATTTTTTCGCAGGCAGCAGATTCGGACACACGGCATCACTTTACAGACACAGGCTCTGAGGTGGGCTTTTACAGGTTCTGTGGATCCAAATCTTAACTCCTTATAATTGTACTCCGCAATAAGGTTAGAAGGAATTGCGACGTCCTGATATATATAAGTGTCGTTGACTCTTTTCAAATCCGAAATAGCAACGGTATCGAAGTAGTCACAGTTTGGAATATCGGCTGTTGACTTCCTGACACTTGTAAAAATTACTATAATAACGAAAAACTTCAAATGGAGATACATTTTTTATGTAGAAACTTTCAACTCGGAGAGGTAAACTCGACTGACTCCGAAAATACAAGGCTTGGAGCATTTAAAGGGTTGCCCCCAAAATTATTTGCTTTGACAATCAAAAGCACAGAATCTCAGCCATCGAAGTCGCCAAAAATCAATCTCGATATTAGCAAGGGAATAAATATAATCATTCAATTTTCTCTTGGGGCAACGTTCTGAGAATCCGCACATACCAATAATATTGAATAATTCCCTATGCACCCATTTTTCCCCAGACCTAATTCTTACTTATTCCACCTACATTTATGAAAAAAATATATTTTATCAAAGGCAACAGTGCGTATGAGAGATAAGTGACGTTAGAAATGACCACACAAATGTGGAACGTTAATCTTTAAATATCAAATAAATAAAAAACACAAATTTAACCACTTCCTACACACAAAAAAAAATCAATTGGTACATCTAGATAAACATTTTTTTTGCACTACCAAACCATTATTAAAACTCAGCTCGACTTATTTTTTTGTTTTTTTTTTTTAATTTTGAGATTATATATATATAATAATTAGATTTACATTCATTTCTGTATCATTTTACTTGTTTTATTTTAGAAATAAAGTAAGCATTTATTACTAATTCTTTTAATTTTTTTTTGTTTTGCTTTAGATGTGCATTTTAGTGCACTTTTCATTTCTTTTCCATTTTGCTTCGATGAACAATATTAAATACGGGGGCGTACAATCATTTTATAACACAAAAACAAACAATATTTTAAATATACTTCTTAATGAGACGTTTTCCTTTTGTTTATCGTGTGGAGGGTGTGTGGTGTTTGGAAGATTGGGAGTGGGACGAAATCACGCAAACAACACAAAATAAGGCAGTGTGCCAGTTGGGGAAAGGTTCTATATGCACTCGATATAGAGATATTGCAACGTGACCACTTTTGATATTGAAGCTAGTAAAAAACACAAAGAAAATGCACACAGTACAACAAGCGGAGATGGTTCGTTAATGGTTATCAATTTTAACATGCTACGATTCATAGAATTTTGGTTTAATTTTCCTCCTCGATTCGTTTATCCGTATTTGTTTTTTTTTTGTTATCATCATCGATCGTCATTCTTCTCTTGGCTCTGTATAAAAGTTCAGTAAAAAATGCAGCTTAACTAGGTTCTCGTTTTGTAATTCCCTCCAATTTCGTTATTAAGGTAGCTCTCCTCGCAAACGTGATTTTTCATTTATTTCCATTAGATATCCTCAATTGTTGCAAGCTTGCTTGGGTTTGTTTGTGTTGCTTTCGGCTTTATTTTACATTAATCAATTATTTACTTGTTTATCACTTAGTTTTTACAATGGCGTTTTATGTGGGTTTTTGTTTGCTTTGCTTCGCTTCGATTTCCATATTCATATTCATTATCATTTTCATTCCCATTAAAATGTATAAATTTCCTTGGCTCTCTCTGTACTAACATGTAATGTAATCATCATCATCATCATTGGAAACGCACAAATAAATTCTATTTGATTTAATATCAAGAACAAAAACTAACTGCATATATTTTCTTCTATATTTTCTGCTTTGTGTAGAAAATTCGATATACTCGTACATATATATTTTGTGGCTTTCTGCTGCGCTGCTGCTGGTTTTATTATTCAACTTAAGTTTAACTTGTAGCGAAATCAAAACACAATTGTGAAACGACATTTGAAATGAATCTGAATCTGAATCGTGTGGTGTGGTGGTGGTGGTGTGTTATGTAACGTCAATATACATAAACATCGAAAGGATGGAGGATACGAATTGCTTTAATTGCGGCTGTTTTGCGTTTTCTGACCAGATCTCTGACAAAAAACCTCGACGAGTGAGCTTGAAATGTTCGTCTCTAAATATTAAGTAGATTATTTGTTTTTTTTTTCATATATATATATAAAGGCTCGTGTTGATCGAGTTTTCTTAGCACATTTACTAATTGAAACGTTGTCGTGGTGAATTTCATAAGCACAAGTTCATGATCTCGGGTTGTTTGTTGTGTTGTTGAGTGGTGTGTCTGTTTTTTAGGATATCTCACTTAATCTTTATGCACTCTCTTCACTTAAATCAGCTAATTATCTTTTATGTGTTCGCTTTAGATACTTTCTTTTTCGTTTTGCTTGTGTGGTAAAATAAGAAGAAAATGTTTATGGGTTTTGCTGTTTTGTTGCCGGTTGAGCAAATCGATCGCTGGGGCGTCGATCGAAGGCTGCCTGCCAAGATCATCGATCATCTAACGTCGATTGGTTTTGCGGTTGGATTACCAATTGGCCATGCCCGGTTTGTTGAGCGTCATAAAGTAGATTTGACACGATGAAGCACCTTTGGCACTGCTGAAGAATACTTTGTCATTGCGCTCGCAAAGGAATTTCAAGCGCTGCGCCTTTTTGTGCATGAACACACCATCCAAATGGCCGCTCTCAACGGAACGTATCTGGAAAATAAATATTATAAAATTATTATAAAGGGTTTTTAAGGCAAATATACCAGTTAACCCACCTCTATTGCTTTATTGCCCCAGCCCATGATTTGTCCAGTGCCAATGTAGGCCACCGATGTGGGCATCTCGCCCCACTAAAAGCGATTAAAAAAATATATATTAATATACCAGTAAAATAATTATAGAGGGGATTATCCCCAATGACTTGCCTGCAGCACAATGTTCTTGGAAACCCGGCCCACAGTGTTCACATAGACGCCCTCATTGTCGTAGCACAACAGCAATTGCATGCCATTCGAGTTCGGAAGCGCCACAATACAATGCGGAATGATTGCACCCTGAGTCTGCAGAAATAACAAATTACTTAGCACATCAATTAAGACCCTTAAAAGCTAAACAACTTACATGCTTGGGAAGATATATATCGTATACTTCAGCTGAATCTAAATCAACCGCATGGAAACCCTCGGCGGAGCCATAGATCACCTTCAGTCTCGACTGATCCTCAATGGTGAGATCGACCAAAAGCGGGCGATGTTCCAGTTCACCAAAATTCTAGAAAAAATTAAAGTTTTAAAATTCTGCAAAAAAATATCGTGAAAAATTCAAAACCCACCTTAAATGCCATAAATTTGTGATATGGTTTGGGAGCCCATGCATAAATTTCAATAGAGTCTTTTAATGCAATCACTAGGAACTTAATCCTCTCGTATTTGACAATCTTAAAATGTACAGCACCTTGTAGATCACCCACGTTAATCCAACCGTTGCGACGCTCCACTTGCTGTGGGTGGAGATTATTAAATTTAAATATATATTGGGGATAGACTATTGAGAAAACTCACATCGGAGAGTCCATCGGTGCGCAAGATCTTCGACTTGAGCCAGGACAAGTAGTAGACACGCACTCGGTTCTTCTTGCCGGATATGGTGACCAATATGTTCTGGCCCTCTAGCACCTCCATTTGTTGGAAACGGCGTCGCGAGATGAGCTGGTAGACCTGTTACGGATAAACATAATAGTGCATTAGATACTGGGGTTTTAAGAGGCTCAATAAGAACGCGAATTCTTCAGGATAGGTGTTTAAATCAATTTAAAGGTTCCCAAGGAACGCGAATTCTTCAGGATAGTTAATTCAGTCAATTTAAAGGTTTCTTAGGAGCACGATGTCTTCAGGATATTTAATCCACTTATTTAAAGGGGTTATTAAAAACGCTAATTCTTCAGGATAGTTAATCCAATCAATTAAAAGGTTCCTTAGGAACGCGAATTCTTCAGGATAGTTAATCAAATCAATTAAAAGGTTACTGAAGAACGCGAATTCTTTAGGATAATTAATCGAATCAACTAAAAGGTTCCCTAGGAACGCGAATTCAGGATAGCTATTCCAATCAATTACTTACCTTGCCCTGACCGGATCGATCTAGCAGCATTAAACCATTCTCCGTACCGATCAGCAGGTTGACGCCCCACAGCGCCGCGCACAGGATCTCCGAGTTGAAGCGCTTCTTATACTTACGTATCTCGGGCGTATCGTTGGCCGCCTCATGGGAGGTGGGCGTTACGTTGACATTGACATGAGACTCCCGGCGCGAAGGACCAGAGCCGCCGGCACCGAAGCCAAAGGTCAGGAAACTGCGCTGCTTCTGTTGCAGGGCGTACGCGTGCGGGGGCAGGGGATTGGAGATCGAGGCCGAGGACGTCGAGGAGCAGGGCGTCAGGTGGTGCAGGTTCGCAGAGGAGGAAGAAGCAGATTTGTGCAAGAGATTAGTAATACTGCTGGAGGAGCGCGTCTTGCTGATCGAATTCTTGGGCGAATTCTGGCGCGAATTCGAGGACGAGGAGGCGAGCGATATCGTCGATTGGGGCGAGTGATTGCTGCTGATAATCACGCCGCCCACAACGGTACCGCCCCCCAAACCGAGACCGCCGCCGCCGCTTCCGCTGCTAGCGATAAACGATTTCGATGGCGTGGAATGCACGGATGAGCTAATGGCCGCCTGATACTGGTTAATCGATAGGTTTCGATTTTTTCGATTGTTTGTGTTTTTTACATTTCGTTTTATTTTATTTTATCCATTTAGTTTTATTTTTGATTAAGTTTTATATTTCGTTATTGATATATTTCGATTATTTCGATAGTTTTAGTTTTTTGTACATTGGATTTGGTTGGTTTTGGGTTTTTTCATTGTTTTTATTATATAGAGAAAAAAGAAAAATAGAAAAAGTGCAAGAAAAAATTTAAATTAGTCTTCAGATGTCAACTAAAAGTAAATAAATTAAATAATTTAAACATGCAAGACTTTGGGTGTGTGTTTTGGTTTATTTGTGGGCATTACAATATTGATTTGTGTGGTTGTGTGGATGGGTTATGTGTGGTATGCTTAAACTAACAATAAAAGGAAATATAGCCGAAACTCAGACAATGTTAACAGTTGTGGAAAAAAGGCGAAAATGTGTTAGGATTAACAAAAACAAATAAAAAGTCGATATGTGATTAGTCTTTCCCCAGAGGCCATTGGAAAAAATAAATTAAAATGTTGTAAAAATAATTTGTGTGTTTTTGTGTTTTGATAAACTTTGAGAAGACTTATTTACAGTGTATATGTTTGTATGTGGAGAATGTGTGGGAATTAATATAGTAGCACTGTAGACGAAACGTTAGCGACAAAAGACTGACTGCTAAACAACGCAGAAGACAGTGGATCGCATTGGAGGCTCCACAGGTAAAATTATTTAAATGATATTTACAGAGAAAAATTGAAGTCATTCCTAGTGCTAAGGAAAAAGATGTACAGAAAATGTGTGAAAAATTATCTTCTAGATATCCATATCCTTTAAAAAGAAAACTTATCTATACACATACAGAAAATATGGCACACATTGTGAAAATGTGATGAAAAATCAAAAGGTGGAGGAAAAATAAAAACTATACACAAAAGTATTTTCTTGTTTTGGTAGTCGTTTGGATTTGGTTTTTGGTTTTATAAGAGAGCAAATTATACAAAATAAATAGCATTTTGTCGGTTTTTCGGTGGGGACTTTCCATTCATACTTACTATTGTAATGTTTTGTTTGTTTGTTTTTGATTGGTAATTTGTAATTTGTTAAAATATATCGTAGTGGCCATCAGCTCAAACGTTGCGGAAAGACAAAGCACAATTAAGAAGAAGAAATTTGTTTTAAAACGTTTTTGGTTCTTAACTTTTTGTTGTTTTTTATCGTAAATCAGTTTTACTTAGTTCATGCACTTGGTAAGAGCTTCATACGGGCATGCAAATTATTTTGTACTCTCAAATTTTGTCGACCAATTCATTGTTTACCCTCTTCATAATGAACTTTGCTCCACGTCAAAGAAATATATTTATGCTAGAGATGTTCTTTAACTTAGGGATTAGTCACATATATATTTGGGGTTAGGGATAAAATAATAAAATAAAAAATAAAAACTCAAAGTAATTTTCTAAAAAAAAAAAAAGTTTTTAATTGGTAAAAAAAAATTTATTGAAAGATTTTCAAAAATATTCTTAGGTGAGTATTATAAAACCTCTGATTCACTCAAAAATAGATTGGCAAATCAAGGTGGTATTGTAAAATTAATGACTGATAATGGATTTCTTTATGATTCAGTTATCAAACCGGAAGAACTTGAAAAATTCTATTTGCTGAATAATATTCTGATTCACACATTATTAAATATACTTCCAGGTGGTATTGTAAAATTAATGACTGATAATGAGGGTTTTTTATGAAGAACTTCAAGTATTATTTTCTTAACCATGAATCCTAACAAAGATAATGGAAATGAATCGGCCTGAACGACAGACACAGCGAAATATATATTATCACAATAAATAAACTCAACGTGGACACAAGGGTTACGAACGAACGAACGAAAAAAATCGATTAAAACGAGTAAAAGACAAGAGGACGAAAATGTGGAGTATTTATTGGTCATATTACTCACCTCCTCACTGGATGATTTATCATGGCGTGGTGGCGTTGCCGGCGACGCCTGGCTGAGTAGATCCGGCAGGACGCTACTGGTCCTGGTCCCAGGAGTTCCCAATCCAGTGCCATCGGCGCCCACGCCTCCGCTGCTTCCACCACCGCCTCCTCCGCCGCCGCCGCCGCCTCCTCGATTCTGTGTGTGGAATATATATAGTACAGATTTAGCATATCAAATAAATCCAAGTTTAATAAATTAGAGACAGAGAGTCGGAGAGAATAAATGGGGTTATAGAATGTATAGGAGGAGTAACAGAAATAACAACGAAATGAGTCAAAGAACGTACAAGAAATATAAATTCAAGATTCAAGAGCAGCAGCACAAAATAAATGAATGCCAATGAGACACATTTTGAGGTTGCCTAATGATGACCCCTCCACTACTAAGCCTCGAATTTTAGCCGCAAATGGATAATATAGATACAGATATAGTAGATAGTATAGTGGGTGCGGGGTGTGTGTGTAGTATCCTTTTTTCATTTACAGAGCTTACAGACTATAACATTTATATGGATGGTATCGTATCGGTAGTATCGAGTCCTCTGTGTTCCTCAAAATTGTTTTAAAGCTAATAATAACACAGACTTAAAGGTAATAAGCAACATTTCAGTTTCAGCGCAGCAGGCAGAACGTGGCTCAAGTTGCAAAAACAATCTCAATCTCAGGTTCAATGGGGGCGTTGGTGTATTATTTATGTTTCTTAATTAAGTTTTCTTTCTCTTTTTGCTAACCAAACCAGCAAACTTTTTTAATTGATTTCGAGTTTGTCTTTTTGTACAGAGAAAAGCTTTAAAACAATTTTGAGCGAAAGCAATAGAGTTTACAGATGGTACAGAGAGCAGCATTCTAATTTACAGAGTTACAAGAGAGGCAGCATGAGACAGTAAAAAATAAATAAAAAAGGAGATATTAAAAATTACAAAAAAAAAAAGGTTTAATATATTTTTAAAATATTTTTTTAACTGAAGCTAACTAAATAAAAAATCTTTTAAAGTTTAGTATTTCTTTATATTTAATTAAAAATGTAAATCATTATTTAAGAACCAATTTAAATTTTTATTATTTAACTGCTTTTAAACGATCCCTGAAAAAGCTTGATAAAATATCAACCTTCAAGACATCGATATAATCAAATAGATAGTGTGAAAATATCGAAAATATCGATAATATTCAAGCTGTAATCCCTAAGCTGCCTCGCATACCAAAAATTCGATTATAAAAGCTTATCGACACCATATTATTAACATTTAAACAGAAAGTTTAGGATAGCTTCAACCTGCACTACGGGTATTAACTTGAGATCTCATTAGCATTCGATACTTTTGCCTCTTCTTTTTCGGGGTTTATTGTTATATACATTAGATTAGATTACCGATTTTCGACTGTCTACCGGTTATTTGCATTTGTTAATCGTAGTTCTTAAGCATTATTTTAGATGGCCTTAATTACGGTTGCGGTTAGCTTAAGACCTAAAATGGCGTGGGCTTTGATTGATTTATAAACGAAATTTAAATAAACGAAAACAAATGAGAATGCAATTAATTAAAGATAAAAACCAAATAAAACCAAACATGCTCAAGCGATGAAAAGAAGGAATACATATTTTTTTAGTTTAGCCCTAAATGTTTTTTACATCTCCAGCTGTATTTTTTTGATTAGCAACAAATGGTGTGTATTATTTTGGATTTTTTTATTTACGAGCTATTAGTTTTTAGAGTGCGTGTGTGTGGATGTGGTGAGTATGGAAGTAGCGAGCCAAATGGTAAATTTCAGCCTTATTTTTTGGGTAGTTTGGGTTTGGTTTACGTTTTCTGGCGCCAAGACAAAACACAATTTAATGGGATAAATATTTTTGCAAAAAATATTCTTTTTGGTGAGTTATGTTCGCAGCATTTGTTTTTTTGAATAAATGTTTTGCCTCTCTGTTGTTGATTTGGTTGTTTTTTGTGCGAGCTGAGAACGTTTACCTGCTGCTGCTGTTGCTGCTGCAGTTGCTGTTGCTGCTGTTGCTGTTGCTGCTGCTGTTGCAGTTGCTGTTGCCTTTGGGCGCGAGTGGCAGCATTTTGCAGCACAATGACGGATTCAGTCTTTTCGCGACGCGGTCGCAGGAAATTAAAGCTGGCCAGGGATTTGGAGGGTTTCGGAGCAGCTCCCTTGGTGGCAGTAGAAGTAGTTGGAGTAGTAATTCCAGCAGCAGTTGCTCCTGGTTTTCCACTGCCAGTGGCAGTGGCAGTTCCTCCTGGTAGCGCATTCTCCTTGCTTTTACTGCTGATGCTGCTGCTGTTGTAAATGCTGTTCCTTTGGTACACCACACTCGATCGCTGGGCGGGAATGGGTTGCGATGAAGGCGACACCACCGTTCCCGAACCTCCTGAAGTTCCGGAATTACTCGTACCACTCAGCACCGCCGAGTGTCGCTTGGTGAGCGGGAAGAAATCCGAGTTTTCTCGTCGAAAGCCACGCACAAAATTCATCGGCAGTCGGGAATCCGAATCCTGTCGCTTGTGCGCCGTGGATCCTGCTGATCCTTGTTCTTTGGCAATACTTTGGCTGGCACTTGGTTCCGCCGCCGTCGATTTCAGCGGCTGATAGCCCCGGGGAACGGGTCTCGTAATGGCCTCCGCCACACTGGCCCTCTGCAGCTTCGTCTCCACCTTCAGCGTACTCAGCTGGGAGCTTCGACTTAGACTAGCAGTGGTGGTGGGACTAGCACGTCCACTGCCCCTCAAGGCATTGTTTCCTCCTCCATTCTTCGGGAAGAAGCGATCAAAGTCCCAGTCTCTCAGCAAATTGTTTTCATCACCGACAACTCGACGCGATGGAGTCACATTTGCCTGCGATGTGGAGGCGGACTTTTGCAGGCGATTTATGTTCTGTTCTAGTTTCTATTTGTTTTTTTTTTTTTGTTTTGGGTTTTGTTGGATTTTTCAGGTTCAGGGAGTAGTAGTTGTTGTTGTTGTAGTTGTGAGTACGCAGCAAGAGAAGAATTGGTGTTAAGTTGGTCTGTTTTTAATATATATACTTGGAGGAGGAGGCTTCTAAATTTAACGATTAAAAGAGAGAGAGACCTTTTGGAGGTTCGTCCCCCACCCACCAAACACAGCATGGAAAGTTTTTCATGAATTCTGCTCTTCACATTCCAGTAGTAGGTTACTAAATATTTCAGATTTTCCAGAAATATTCGAATGATATATATATATTTGGGGTGTGTGTGCAAATGTGCATATATTCAATATATGTATGTACAATATTTATCGATCGTGTCAACATTCTATGCACCAGTGCATTATAATGTTTATAATAGATGCAACATCACACATGGCTCAATCAGAAAAATATACAGAAAAAACGTAGGTAACTCAGAATTTGGAAAATAAATTTGTACAAAAAAGAGAAAGGAAAAATTCACGAAAAAGATTTCACACTGTTACTATAAAAAATATATATCAAGATTAATTTGGAATTCAAATAAATTTAGTAGGAAAATCAAATCATATTTTAAGCTAGTCTTAAGTAACTCTTTGTTTAATTTAGAGAACCACAACCAGGTTGAACTTAGTTTATATTACTCTGTTTTGGATTTAGTTTAAATCTTTAGTTTTGTTTTTTTTTGGTTTGGCAGACCTTAAGCCCTACAAAAGCTAGTTTACAGTTTTTTGTACAATGCATATAATATTCCTATCCTAATTTTCACTGATTTGCATCTCATCGGAAAAAGTATATCAAAAAAACTAAAAACTAAACTAAACAAAGTTTCATACGCATATGTAAGGATATAGAAGTTGATTTCTGGGGGGGATCGAAGGATGTACTACTTACGCGCTTCATGATCAAAGTTCGATCTCCGGCCTGATCGTCGTCATCGGGCGTGGGTGGCAGTGGGCGGTTGGGCGGCCCACCGCTGCCATGACTCAGGGGCGTTGTCGTATTGGCGTCCTCGGAGACAGGTCCCAAACCGGGCCTATATGAAAATTCGGGTCTGAACATAACGAAAACCAAAGAACGCAAAAGGCAAGCCAAAACAAATCGAAAACGAAAAAAGGGGCGGCAAATTGTGGTTGTCAAATGGAAATGAAATGGGTGTAGGTGTAGGTAGTTGGGTAATTAATGGGGTGTTCAAATAAGTGAGAGACAAGAATGTTGTGAAGTCGGGTTAGTTTTCAGAGAGAGAGAAAGATGATGTTTTGTTCCTAATCACGAACCGCAAATAGGTTTTTTACTTTATATTATAACAGCCTAATCGCGGACATTAAATGTAGTATACTACTAGTTATTTATAGCTATAAATAACGATAATCTTATGAACCGAAATTTAACTTAAACGGAAAATAAAGATTCTTAGAAATTTTCTAAAGTGAATAACGGTAATAAAAACTAAAACCGAGTTGGCAGCTCTGCCACTGTTCTTTCAACACAAATAATAAATTAAATTCTTAAAATTTTTGTATTTAAAAACCAATAAATCTAAAAAAGAAATTAACAATTTTATTAAAATATTTTTAAAATCCCTAATTGCGGTTCCTGTCTTTCAAATTTTCAACTGTGAACTACTTTTGCATCTTCGATTTGTGGAATTTTGCTGCAAACTGCCACGCCCCTTCTTTGTGGTTCTCTACTTACAGCGGTTTGGGTGGATCGCTGGCCAAGAGAGTTCCATCGTTCCGGGCCCGATCGTTGGGCTCGTCCGGCTCGCTGTCCGAATCGCTGCTGTCCAACGGATCCAGCGGATTAACCGGCTGTCCCAGATGATTGTTCGACTGCTGAGGCAGTGCGGCAGCGGGCTTGGATCCACCCGATGCCGACGATCCGCCGGAGGAGGACAGGCCGCTCGACCCGCGATTGTTTCGAGGCGGCGCCTCCGGCTGCGCCTGCTGCTGCTGCTGGGATCCCTGGCCACCGGCGGCTGTCTGCGGCTGTGGCTGTTGGGAGAAGACCACGCCCAATTCACTTAATTGTGCTGCTAACACATCCAAATGATCCTACAGTTTTACAATACATTTGTTTTTTTGTTTTCAGGGGCAGGAGGATTTGTGTGTGTGTAGTTTGTTGTGTGTTGTGTGTATATTTTGTTGGAATTGCACATGATACCACAGGTTTTTTTTATCGATTGGGAATGGGAACGAAAAGTAAGAGAGCATTAGATTGGTTTTTCCTCCGATACACGGTACTTAAAGATAAAAAACGATCAAACACATTTGGATCCAGCAGAGCATTACATTAGAATCGGTTAGAAAGCTCGGTTGTTAGTTTTCTTTATCTACGTTAGTGGGTTGTTTTGGATATTTCCATTTCGAAACAGCATTAGAAACGCATCAATCAAGTAACTCTATGCTCCAGGTATCAATCTACTTTTGAGGTAGGGGTTAGTCAATCAGTTGAGTTAGGGAACCTTTAGAAGTTTAGTTAACAAGTGGCACGTGCAAAAGGTGTTGATCTTGGGGTTTGGAGAGTTACAAAGTGGGTTTTGTGTACCTCCATTATAGTAATTTTGACTAAGGTCCAAAAGGGGGTTTTTTCAGGGGGTTACACAAATGGAAAACAATCGATACAGAGTGCGTTGCAGAACTTTTAGTTAATAAAATCTTATAAACATATTTAAAGCATTTTTATTAGTTCTGAAATACACTCTATATTTATTTTAATGTATGCAAACTTTATAGGAAACTCAAGCAGTTCAACAAAACAGAAAAGATGCGACAGGCTTCAAACTGAAAATCGTAGGACATACCTCAGGTCTCCTTGGTGGTAACTGTTGTCATGATTGTTGTTGTGTTTTTATTATAATATCAAGTGTTTCGTTTTGTTGTTGTAATCGTGTGCGGTTCGGAAATCATACGTTGGTTTAACGGCGCAACGGGATGATGTACACATGAGTCAAATCATATAATATACGGGTTTATCAATGCATATTGGTATTATATGGTATATATATATATTTATATTTATAGATTATGTAGGCGCACATAACATGAAAATAAAAGAGATATAAATTAGGATAAGATATGGTATGGTATCGACATTTACATGGTTTACAAAATATGGGTCAAAAAGTATAATAATCAAACTACAACGAGGGGGCGGTGGGTTTACAAATTACGGGGTACAGAAACACAGAGCATCCTTGGGGGATATACCCCTATAACCATAAGTAATATATGCATTTCCCCTCCCAACACAGAAAGTCATTGCTCTGGAGACCTCCCCTTGGAGATCGGATTTCCCGATTACCGCCGCCGCTGCCTTATCGGCCCTGCCCTTTCGCTGTTGTTAATCTACGCCCGATACGCACCGATGGCTTGAAGTTATTCTGCGAGTTGCGCTGCTGCTGCTGCGGCGTCTGTCCCGCCGGCTCGCCGCACTTGGGGGTCGGTGGCAATGGCCGATTGGCGTGCGGCGGATCCGGCACCACGATCAGGCGCTGTGGCGGCCGTGCCGGCGGTCCGGGCTCCTCAACCTGCTGGCGCTGTAAAGGGAATTTTTTAATAAATTCATTTCTTTTTTAAATAAAACCCTCAAAATATCCCAACCTATGACCTGAAATCGTTTTCAATTGATAAATAAATAGGTACCATAAAAATAATACAAATCGCAGTACAAATAGGTAATACTTTATCATCAAGATCTAAAGAGTTCGCGTTTTCCTTATGAGTATACCCTTTAGAGTGATCGAATTCGCTGTTTCAAATATTTGTATATTTTTTTTAATTTATTTCGGGGATACTTTTTCATAAATATCTAAAGAATTCGCGATTTCTTATGACTATATTCTTGTGAGCTGCAGAATTCGCAGCTTAAAATATTTGTACATTTTTTATATTTATTAAGGTGATGCTTTTTTATCCAGATCTAAAGAATTCGAGGTTTCTTGTACGGATATTCTTGAGACCTGCAGAATTCGCAGTTTAAAATATTTGTATAAATTATTATGTGATGTCTAATCATTCGGGACTGAAGAATTCGCGGTTTAAAACATTTTAATGTTATATCTAACCATCAGAAACTAAAGAATTCGCGGTTTTAAACATTTATAAAAATACCTATGTTAGTTTGACTATTGAGATCTGAAGAATTCGCGGCTTATCTTTATATCTAACAAATTCTTACCGATGGCGGTTTCGGCTGTCGATTCTGCTGCGGCTGCTGTGCCTGCGCCTGCTGCTGGGCGGCCTGTTGGGCCTGCTGCGCTGCATGGGCCGCCGCTGCTGCCGCCGCCGCCGCCTGCTGTTGCTGCTGCTGGAGTTGCGCCTGAGCCTGGGCGGCGGCATGGGCGGCAGCCGCCTGGGCCTGGGCCTGGGCCATCAGGTGATGCTGCTGCTGCTGCTGCTCGGCGGCCAGGCGACCCTCCTGGATCTGCTGGAAGTTGCGGCGCAACGTATCGCCGCCCGGCTGCTGGACAATCGAGCTGTGCTCACCGGCCAGCTGCGGCTCGTCGTCGTCGTTGTCGGAGCCCGAGTAGCGATAGTCCTCGCGCTCCTTCTCCTGCTTGCGCTTCTTGCAGCGATCGATGTGATCCTTCAGCTGGATGCGCACCTGGCGATCTGTGGGCTGGTCCTTGATGAAGGCATGCTTCAGCAGGTTTTCGGTGTAAGGCCGCTGGTGATAGTCCTTAACTGGAAGTAAAGAAATAAACGGGGATTAGTTATGGGTTATGAGTCAAAGAATACCAAAGATGACTCACCTAGCACCGTGTCAATAAAGCCGTGGAACTTCTTGGACCACTTCTTCGATTTGAGCCTGGGCGGCGAGTTGCGCGGAATCAGGAAGAGGGCGCGCATCGGATGCAGATCGCAGAGCGGGGGCTGTGACTCAGCCATCTCCAGGGCGGTGATGCCCAGCGACCACAGATCGGAGCGATTGTCGTACGTGGCGTCGGGATTCTCGTCGCAGGCAATGACCTCGGGGGCCATCCAATAGGGAGTACCTATAAAGCGAGAGACAGAGACCAGTTTAGCAGGTAGGATTGAAAGGTGACTCATTCCACTCACCGATGAATGTGTTGCGCCGGCCTATCGTGCGATCCAGCTGGGCGGACACACCAAAGTCCACCAGCTTCACCTCCGCGTTGTCCGTGAGCAGCACATTCTGCCCCTTGATGTCGCGATGGATGACTTTGTTCGAGTGCAGGTAGCTCAGACCGCGCAGAATTTCGCGACAAATGTAGGCTATCCACTCCTCCTTCAAACTCTGACCCTTGGTGGACTTGACCAGATCCGTAACCGAACCGGCGCCACAGTACTCCATCACCAGCCAGAGCTGATCGTCCTTACCGGGCGGTGACTTCTTGATAAAGGCTCCGTAGTAGGTGGCGATGTTGCGGTGATTCGAGTACTTCTTTAGCACATTGATCTCCAGCTTGATCTCCTCCTCTTCGTCCTCGGTGACGTCCATCACCTTTATGGCAGCCAATTGACCAGTCTTCGTGTGGCGGCCCTGTAAAATAACAAAAAGAGAGTATTGGGTGAGTAATCTGTTAATCTGTGGTAATAAAATGTTAATAAAATATAATTTAAGAAAATTGTTTCATTTCTATTAGATTATCTCTCTCCCTCTTAAAGCTGTTTCAGAAAACTTAAATATAAATGTTTTCATTCAGTTCTTATTTTTAAGAAATGTTTTTTACATGAATAATGTTCAGTATTTTTTAAACTTGTTTGATAGAGAATTAATCTTCACACAAAAATGGAAAAGCAAATGACGAATTGAGCTTGTTCTTATCCATTAATAAACAAGTTTCTTAACTATTTCGTAAAATCTTCAAGAGTTTTCTATTTCAATTAAGGTTTTAAGTTAAGTTAACATTAACTATTAACTTTTTAAAAAATGTTTAATAATAGTGTTTTTTATTATTTTTTTTATTTTTATTATTTCTTTAAATAAATTAAACGAAATGACGAATTTTGTTTTTCTTATCGGTCTTATAAGTCATAATACAAAACTTACTGGGAAATTAAACTAATTCGATGTGTGCATCCTTATAAACTAACACAACAAAAATAATAATAACAAAAATGTTAATAACAAAAATAATAATAACAACAATAATAATAACAAAAATAATAATAACAACAATAATAATAACAAAAATAATAAGATAAAAACCGCCGGGAACTTAAATTCTTAGAACTAATCCAAATAATTCTTTTATTTTTCCATATACGTACAATGTACTTTTACTGGATAAAGAAAGGCGGAAATGGCAACTATAATTATTAAAAAAAAATATTTAAAAGCTTAGAACCTCTTTAGTTGCAAGAATCTGAACCGATTTGGTCTTGAGCATTGGCAATGATCGAGGTCAGGCCTTCCAGAACTCGGTTCATTACGGCATTGAGGCTGTTTAATGCACTTCAGCACCCTCCATTATGCTCTCTTCTCGACGACAACAAGACGACGACGACAGCGATGACGCTGACGGCGACCATGGAGGCGTTGGCTAGTGCAGCGGAGCCATATAGATATTCTATATATTTTATATAGTCTGTGGGCCTCTCTGCCTCTGCCGCCAGGCGTCAACCAACTGCGACGCATAAAAAGTGATTAAGTAAACAAAAGCAGCCGCACCAGCATCATCGACGACTCCAATGGAATCAAACAATAGAACGCAACGTGGAGTAGAGTGTAAAAGCTAGTGGAGGGCAGGGAACTCTGCCGTCTGGAGAGGAGCATCAACCTCGAGTGGGGTAATGTGTCTGCTCAATCAGAGTGTCAAGTAGTTAAGGTAAACATGCCGCAAATATCTATTCAAGAGCGCCACAAAGGTGACTAATTCAAGGCCTGGAAGGGGGTGACTAAAAAAAGATTCAAGGCACTGAGAAAAAATCATTTTAACTCTAGAAGTGTTGTATACTCTAATTTAAAGAACACTTGAGATTGACTAAGGTCTTTAAGGTCACGTAAAAATAGTATCTTATGAGAATTTGAAAATAACTTTATTTTTAGCACTATAGTTTCATTTCAGTAAACATAAAGGAGCTGCCTTGTTCTTAGTTTCAAATAAACAATCTAAATTTAAGATTGTATATTTTACAATAAACTATAAAATTTGTAAACCAATAAATGAAAGGGTTCTTGGGTTTATTGACCTAAATAGAAAATCTACAGTTAAGAGCGCCTTTATTAAGAACTCTACTCTCTAATTTCTGGCTTTTTCTAGATCCTTGATGAAAACTTCTTCTCTCTAGAGATTTAAGAGCTCCAATTATTTCCCTAAAGTTTTCCAGTCACGTTTGCATCTTTGGTGTTTAGAGCTGGTGTTTAGCCCAACCCCAACTAGTTTCAATTAGCCTGCCACTTTAATCAAACTCGCAAATTGTTTTTTATTCTCCACCACTACTACCCCCTTCTTCCGGCCAAGATTGAGTTGTCCTGACCAACCGGTTACTGGTTTTATTTCAAAAAAGTGCTCCCAGCATCTGGGAGATGCCATCGCATCTCCGTTGCGGATGGCTGTCTTGTGTCGCCTAAGCCGCTTTTAAAGTCATTTTACATTTAATACAGTTTTAATTGAGTGAGCAGGAGCATCGCATCAGGCTGATGCTGCCTGCTGCGGCCCCATCCATAAATCAAAATGCTTAACGAGAGATGATAACAATTTAAGTGACGATAGTCAGACGATGACGATGCGGCTATGAGATGCTAGATGGTATGAAATGTTGCCCGTCGGCTCTTCGATGTTCTCTTTAAGAGGGTGATTACGATTTGGTTTCTAGTTTGCCAGCCCACAAGGGGAAAACACTTTGGAAACTCTATCGGTTCGCTGATTTATATCTGTAATGGCTTCAGGTTGATGGCTGTATTTTTAGGAACTTTTTATGGAGGTTACCTAAGTTTTTGTAAGGTGTTGGTTTAATACTAGGAAATAAGATTCGGAATTCCATTGGTTTTTTACATGAAAATAATACTAAAAGTATTTTTTTGGTATTCTACTTTTTGTGAAGCTTAAGAATTCGCGTTCTTCAATTAAAAAGCTTTTTAAGATCGTTTTTATAGGATATAAATTTTATAAGATAAGAAAACATAAGATTAAAACATAAACAAAAATTAACAGATCTAAAAACCAATCGAAATGATCACACCCCATTATTTCTAGTGTATTCCATAAATCATTTTGCAAAAACCTGTCATTTTCTTTCCGCTTATTGATTAGTTAGACGAGGCGTTACACCATGGCTAGATTCTATCAAAATGTTATTAAAAACCCCAAGCGGGAGGAGCCGGAGAATCTCTTGGCCATCATCGCATCATCATCAGATTCTAACTGTGCTGCAGATTTTATGCAAATTAATGACATGCACTAATGGAGCCTGACTTGTGGAAAAGAACGAAATTGTGCAGAGAGAAATCGATTAGACAGGCTAAAAAAAAATTATGGCAGGAAAATATCTAGCAGGTATTGCATGTACATTTTACCAGGAAATTGTCGTCTTTGATTTTTGAGTGAGTTCAAAATATCTAAGTAATCGATGAAGAAAGATGATTGCCGCAATTAATACAAAGAAAAATATTTGTGAATCACTAAGTATTCAGTACTCAGTGCAGTCGCACTCTCCCCAGGCATTTCTCCACCTCCCTTCGGTTTCTTCTTAAAAGCCCAAAAGCAAATAGAGCTAAACAATCCGCAGAAACAAATAAACAAAGCAACTGACGACGACGACAAGCCTTTTGCCATATAAAGCCCCCGACCGAATGAAGAAAAAAAAAGAAAAATCGCTGAATTTGTAATATAATCAAAATGTGAAAATGTTTTAAAGGTAAAGTCAACAAAGGAATGGAACTCAGTTCGGTCGACTGGTGCTGCAGCTGTCCGATGTTCGGGCTTGGATTTGCCTACCTATGCACAAGAGATGGTTTATGATTACCACACCGAGCACGAGTATCTGTCAGATATACCGGGCGCACATACAATATTCACAGTCACAATAACACTCACAGATATAGAAACAGAAACAGATACGGATACGGATCCAAGCGCAAATAAAATCAAGCGTGAAAAGAAACCCAAACAATAAAACAATCAACCCGATGATATGCCACAAACATACAGATACTTGGGTGCTAGAGTGGACCTTCGTAGTGAGAGATTTCCAGATTTTAATAACAAAGTATTTAAGAAAATAAACAGAACGATTTTATCTGCTTTCTACAGCAATAACACTATTTTTCCTAAGAGTTTCTAAGAAAATAATAATTAATTTTATAAATTTTATAAATTCATAAATTTCTTATTAAAGAATGCTTTTCGTTCCTTGGTCCCTATAAAACCCACAGGTCCACCCTAAAACCCCTTAATGTCTTATAGGAAAACAAAAAAAAATGCATAATCAGGTCGAAAAAAATATTCTCATAAGCATTGTATATAGCAGATCGTAAAAAGTGTACGTAAGAAAAGCATTTGCAATATCTTGTTTTGGAAACTCCACTCCTACCTTATCCCACCCTACCCCCAATTCGGAAACTATGCGAGTCGTGTAAATTGTCGACAAAAATCCCAGCGGAAAAAAATGCAAGAAAAATTCGCAACAGACGCTGACAGAAAAAATATGATTTTAGTCTGCAAGCTGGCTGATAACAGAAGAGGGAAAAAATAAATAAATATATAAACGCAAGTCGGAAACTGACGTTGCATAAGAGGCAGAAAAAAATGCAGTCAAGTCAAGTGCCTCCCCTATAAAATGGCCCAAAAAGATCAACTTTTCGGACATGTTTTTCAAGTTGCCTCAACTTGGCACGCAAATCGCTTGAAACAAAGAGGAGAAAGGGAAATGTATTTCATATATAGAGTGTATATGCACGGTGGAGAAAAGTGAGATAGAGAGTTAGCTGGAAAAAATTGTGTTCTGCCTGCGATAAGGCCAGAAATCCCCACTGATGTTGATGAACCGGGCAAACATGTGTTCTATACGATGATACGTATATGAAATACAAAAGAGGAAATGGAAATGTTTTAATAGATTAGCCGAGAACTGCAATCGAGGAAAATAGGAAATGTAGAAATAGGTCGCAAAAAGGAAATAAATAGACATAAAAACACTTTAAAGGAAAGATCACAGGGGATCCTAGAAGGAAATCACCTGAAGAAGATTGAATAAATGGGTTGAAAATAATATTAAAGGGTCGCAAATTAAAGCTTTAAAAAAATTGATATTCAAGACTATCTATTTTGCCGATTGTTTTTCGATAGACAACGATATTAACGAAAAATTGCACTTCTTAAGAATTCGCGTTTTTTTATTTCTGATTTACAATTTATTAACATAACCTAGACCTAAAAAGCTGATTTAATAAACTAGAAACTCTTGCAACTTCCCGTTCCACTTCTCCCATTTCCATGCAAATTATATCGACAACGAGATGGAGCCACCCACCTGCCACCGGTGGTATTGAGTAACCCAAAACCATAAAGTTCCAACCACATCAAGCCGAAAGGAAAC